CAAACATACCATCTTGTAGAAAGTCGAATTCTCCATCGATTAGTATGGCCTTCCATTTCTATTAGGAAAAAGTGTCTAGGTGAGGAAATTGAAAATACAGTCTTCAAAAAATGTAAAACTGGATTTTCCGTGCCAAAATTCAACTTTTTAAAAAAACTAATGTGAGATTCGTAATCAGCGCCAGAAACTGCATCTAGTGGTATGCTCCTCTCAGTTCTACTCTAAAATAATTTTTTCAAAAACTTGATCAGCGAAGTCTCGAGTGGACAAGCCGCGGAGTTGAACTGGAGTTGAGATTTTTGTTGAGAGAGTTGGAGTTGGAGTTGAAAAATTTTGAGCGGAGTTGGAGTTAGAGTTGGAGTAGGAAATTTGAAAACGGAGTTGAGTTGGAGTGGAGTTGGAGTTGAAAGTCAGAGGAGTTGCCCAGCCCTGCATTGGACACTCATACACCTTCTCGTTCACCTACATCAGCATTTGTAATTTTAACTCCACCACCTTTAGTTTTGGGATCGAATACGCCGTTAAGAATAATGAATTCATCAACAATACTAACAGTTCCCACAGCATCACAGACAAAAACTGCTGAAATGCATGAATTATCAATCGTTGATAGAATAGAACGGTGGCGTAATGCACAAAAAGCTGGTGCCAAATTAACAAATGGTGATGATTACAAAATAACAATTACAAGTAGTAAGGGTACAATGTCAGCAGCCGTTGCTTGCCTTGTGGATCATCGATCACATTGAAAAAACTTACTGATACGTTTGATGGTGGTTTTCAATTATCAAAATTTTACCAGCATATTACTAAAACGAAATGTCCAGTGCTCAAAGAAAAGAAACAAGAAAAAGAAAATGCTTTAGAGAAAAAAGAAACTCACGACTAAGAAAAACTGAAGAAAAAATCAAAAAAGGTAGCTTTCAATACTTCAGTTATTTCTGAAAAATAATTATCTCTTTTTTTCTCGGATGAAATTGATAAAGAAAGTATCACCCCTTGGTCTAACTGTTAATGGTGCTAATTTATTCAAGAAAGGTACAAAAGAAGCAACATCAAATAATAACAACAAAGCCTCGTTATCGTCATCAACAAAAAAAATATCTGGCTGTACGAAAAAAAATCCAGCGAAACCAACAACAACCAGTGTTGAAAGAACTAAAAAGCGTCCAAGTGACTCTTCAACATGTTTCAGCTAAAATTCGAAAAAAAAATTATGTTAACAGTAAGCTGTGACAAAAAATAGAAGTAGAAAAAGCGATTTGTTTACACGAAAAAAGCGAAAAGACTTCATTTTTGATGAACTTTTTTATTTTGGGTGATTATTTTTGTCGATATTTTTGTGACATTTTGTCACTTAATATCTTTTCTCATACATTACTTTATGTGGATATTTTTATTTTGTGTTCAATAACCAAGAGCAGGCTTTTCGAAAGCATATTCGAACTATTAGGATTTCTATGACTAGTCGATTCGATCAGTTTCTTTTAAAAAAAACGCTTATCCGTTCGGGGGGGCAGGAAGAACTGGACTTTTTTGCAGCCACTGTATCTCTAATTTTTGTAAAAAGCATCTAAAAATTTTGAGCCGCCGCCGCCGATGGACCGCAAAAGTTTTAATTTTTGAGCTGCCGCCGCCGATGGATCAAAAAAATTTATAGTTTTCGAGCCGCCGCCGCCGAAACCGGAAAATTTCTGAGCCGCCGCCGCCGCCGCCGACGGGCCAAAAAAAATTCTGATTTCAAGAATTTGCCGCCGCCGCCGATCGAGGCGTCGGCTTACACCTCTAGTTGTGCTACAATTTTTATAGGGAATTTTTGAGAGTAATTAATTATTTTTTCAATGAGTTTAAATCCGCAAGGGCCGAAAATTTCATGAAACATACTTTGAACTGTGCTGTATCAACTGGCAAGGTTTAAACGAAATATAAATGCGTAGAATCCAATCTTAAGATTTCATAATTAAATTTAAGCAAGTATTGCGTGCAATATGTGAACCTAATACGGGAAGGACGCAATAGTTCATTATATGAATGAAGATAAATGTGAATAATATGTACTCGTATTATGGTTACTCTTAATTGCTTGTATTTTATCAGTTTAAGACTGAAGTTCAAAGACAAAAGCATATTTTTGCTCATAACCAGTTTTGATATTCGTATATTGCTACCCTGGTCGAGACTCCTGGGCAAAGTCCCGCGGGAGTCCCGGAAAAAAGTCCCGCGTCGCATGTAGCTCCAGCAGGATTCAAATCTCGATAAGATCAGGTCAGGAGCGCAGCGCGATCGCGACAGAATAATAGCAACATTGTGACTGAATTTGTAATTTGAATTAAATTGTAAGAAAGTCTGTTAAGAGAAGAGGTTGGTAGCATCGCACCAAGAACTAATGTACTGAGACCAACAACACTACTGCATATAATTGGGATAGAATGAGAGAGACAATTTATGTCTGTATCACAATGAATGATACAGCTGAAATGAGCTTATACAAAGCCAAAGAACACTATTTATCGGAAAACTATCGACCCATAACATTGTTGCCCATTCTTTCATTCAAATATCTTAACAGTAAATATGTACAGTTTCTCAGTACACTTGTAGATAACAATTGTAAATCATGTAAATTCAATAGTAGTTCGTTCAAAAATAATTCTAGAGTCAATAATAAACGATATTGTTCATGAATTGAATTTGTTTTGAATAAATACGATGATAAGTACAATAATATTTCATTTATATCCTAAAAATCGTAACAGAAAAAACTTGAATGTAAAACATTAGATTATTGTGGTTATAACTAGAGATATACGGTCGGCCAGATTCATCGTCGTTGCTGGAGGCAGAAAAAAAGATTTTAGAAAGAATGCGTTATTTTCTTTCTTTGGTGGTTTGTGGTACAGAGTCCGCTATTTTTTCTTAATTTGAATTTTTTGTTAATAGGACATTACATTGTGAAAGAAAACAACATGCGCGAATATACCAGAATACGCAAATATATAAATTTCTATAAAATGTGCTGGGCCTCCTGGGACTGGTGTATTCTCAGTGCGAATACACGGAAATATAGCAGAATACGCAAATATATAAATTTCGGGGTTTTGATTTCTGTGGTACCCCCCAGGATTTCCAGAAAAAAAGTTTTCTAATTTTTTCCAAACCCACCTGATTATATGTAATCGACCACGCTGATCACGAATATCTGTATTAGAAGTGTCGAAAATGGTTTGGGAAGGAGTAGTTTTCAATTTATCTTTAATTTACCTCAGTTTTCTAGTTTTCTGCCAAAAAGGATTTCTATCCTCCCTACCCGAATACCACTACACCACAGAAACCATATAGTGATATCCTTAGTAATCGAGAAAACAGTAAAAATGAAATATTTTTCATTCAAAATACGTTCTCTTTTCTATCCCAATTAATTTGCGCTCTCTAAAAATTTCAAAGCGTTCTCTTTTAAATATTTTCTCTGATGATGATGTATATTTTTAATTAGTGCAGTCAAGCGGTATGCTAACTACTTCACACTAGCATATACCAAGAGAAAAGGCAGGAATAAATGCTAGATAATGTTTACATTCATGTTTTTTATAATAACTTTAACTCTAATTAGTTTAATCTATATTTATTAGTCAACTGAAATGAGCATCACAGATAGTCAGGCATTACAAAGCATTGTACCTGACGATCTGAATACAACGTAACATAGACAAATAGAAAATAACAACAAAGTGACTCTAACGCTAATTAAAGTGGTACAGTTCAATTGTTCTAAGAAAATGTTTCTGTCGAGAACAGTGGATCTTATCTAGGAGTGGGGCAGTTTCAGTTCAGTTCTTTTGGACGTTTAGCCGTTCTTGTTCCTAAGACCAGGAATTGCTTAGAGTAGAAACTGGGTCGGCAGCCCGGCTGGTCGTAAAGTTCAGACCGGTCGGTCCCCGCCGGTCTAGAAAAATTCTCAAACCGGTCGGTGTCCACCGGTTTTTGCCGTTTTTAGAATTTTTAGCATTTTTCTCGCCTTCATTCAAAAGAAACTTGATAAAACAACTAAGCGAAATAAGAAGAAGCTAGTGAAAACCACTTTTTCCTTAAAGATATTTAGTTTTACTGATAGTTCTCGGGCCGGTTTTCACCGGTCTAGAAAATTTCTGAAAACCGGTCGGCTTTTTGTCGATTCTTCACCGGTCTAAAAAGATTTCTGGACCGACCGGTGCTGTCCGGTCTGCTGTTTTGAACCGGCCGGCCCGGTGCAGCCTCTTAGTTTTAGAGCGGTTGCAACTCTAGAATTGCTGAACGTTCTTTGCAAAAGACCGGGAACTGGTTACCAGTTACCATTCAGAAGAACTCGGAATTGATGACTTTGTTTAGTCTACTAAACGCATCATCCACCTTTGGTGCACTAAACAAAGTCAATGTAAGTAGCTTCATCGGTTTGATTTTACTCTGAATTCTTGAAAAGAACGTTCAGCAGTTTCCGTTCTTAAAACGAGAACAGCTAACCCAGTTCTTTTCATCAGTTCTCAAAAGCATTAGGAACTGAAACTGTACCACTCCTGATCTTGTCTTCGTATTCCGATGTTACACGATAAAGTAAGTAATTGGATTTATTTCAATTTCTGATCCATGCAGCTTCCCGAGAATCTTAAGACACGCGATAAGGGACTGATATTCCTGAGAACTTGAATCACTACCTTTGTGAAACCTCGTTGCTGTGAAATAACGTCAGTGTCCTTTATAACATTCTACTAACAAAAGTTTGCAACACGATTTCAATACAAAAAGTGAAAAAATCAACGAACTTGTTATGATCTGCTTCCAATGACACCTTCAACAGATCATAATGTTTACTTTTATTCTTTCTTATCCTCCTTTTTTCTGTAGTATTGTCTACTGTGCATTGGACAAGTTGCGCAACATTTTTTGTTAGTCGACTTATCGCACTTATCCAGGTTTTGTTTCTTTTACTATCCGCCTAAATCTTTTTTTCTTTCTCGCTCTCTGTCTCTCTCTCTCATCATTTCTTAACTTTTTCATCTACTATCAACGTGTGATTTTGTTATCGTTGTCCACTGTAATTCGTTTTTCTAACTTTTTCATTATAAAAACAGTCCATTGTGAAATTTCTTATAAAAAAAAGTTAAGCAGTCAAACAAGTAAGAATAAGAAGTTTTGTTAGTCTTTCTTGACGCCGCCCGGAGCTAGGATTTCTTGAGTTGGAGTCGAATATACGGATGCCAGCGTACTGATCAAGAGAAAACGATTAATGAGAAAGCTAACAGAACTTCGACTCTATATTTACCTTTCCAGACATTTTTAGGAATAAAAATCGTTATATTCACTGCAAAAGAAACTCTATGCACTAAAATCTCGCATTTATTTACTTGGGCATACACTGAAAATGAATTTATTCACTTTCTAAGTACATGACAAGTAAATAAACGCGGTATTTTAGTGCATCGAATTTTTTTCTTAAAGTGTTCTTGTACTATAACTATTTTTTATCCATGTGAATATAAAAATGTTCGTAATAAGACGTTTCATCGAGTATAGTCGAATTGACCTTCGAAGGATGTAACGAATGATGTACAATAAGTGTAGATTAATCTATCAATTTTTCGTGCAAATATATTTGACTTTTAAATGTTGCAAGACATCCTAATAATAAAGTTCCGCAAAAATGGGTTTTTTAGGGTGCAAGAGACCACGTACCAATTGAATTTTTATCGGTTTTACT